ATCCTTGGTTTGTTCACCTATTATCTCTTGAGAATGATCCACCGGAAAATGAAACTCATTACCGTTCAGTTTTGAATGACATTGGTCCTAAAGACTCTATAAATTGTAATATAGAGCCATTTCTTGCATTTCTACCTCCTCCAAAGCCATTCAATGTTTGGTTTGACAAGCTTGAAAACTTGATCAAAACTAATAAGTCGGCACTTATTGGTGAGGTTGGTTTAGATAAATCAGCACGCTTGACTGATCCAAAAACAAAATCTCTCAGCAAAGTTCAAACAACAATTCAACATCAAATAGCAATTTTAGAGAAACAATTAGATTTAGCAGCAAAGTATAATCGAGCAGTGAGTTTGCACTGTGTTCAGGCAACTGGTCAAATAATCGAATTACTTGATCGCAAAGTCCTTTCACAACAACCACTACCGCCACGAATTTGCATGCATTCCTACGGGGGTTCTGTTGATACAATCAAAATTTTGACAGCAGCTCGACCGAAAAAGAAAAAGAAGCTACCGGTTGAAATTTATTTCTCTTTCAGCATAGTAATTAACGAACGATATTCCCGGTTACATGATATAATAAGAGCTGTTCCAGAAGATAGGTTGTTGATTGAATCCGATTTTCATTCTCCTGAAGGGTTAGATCATTTAATGGAAAGAATAGTCTTACTTGTTAGCGAGGCTAAAGGGTGGACAATTACGACAACATTAGAAAAAACTTTTCAAAATTTTCTAAGATTTATTGGAGAATCATAATAAAGAGAAGCAGAAAGAATTTTTATTTCTAAAATCACAAAAGTTGTAATAATAAAGGTTTTAAAAGTAGTATTTCAGAATAAATGAGAATCTTAACAATTTTATTTGTGTTTCGGAAAATGAATGGTGTTTAGAGTTCCTATTTAACGAAATTAGTAACCTTTTTAATGACAAAGATCATTAATTCAAATTTATCAAAAAAAATAAATACGTCGTTTATTTCTATCAAAATCAGTTTCCTGTGTTTTAATTTTGAAACCTCTTAATGAAAAAATTGTTTGTCTTGTGCTAAAACTAAAATTTACCTTCTATATGAGTGCTGCCAAGG